CTCTCCCCACGGAAAGCAAACTTGCTCCCCGACCAGCCCAGCGCCCACCGTCAAGGCGGAGGTCGACGGGATAGACTACGACAAGGAAAAGGGCGACGCCGCCCCCCCGACTCCCACGCCTCCCCCTGGCGGCGCACCAGACGGCACGGTCGGCCCTGAGGGCTCCCCGCCCCCTCCTTCGACCGGGACAGCAGACGAAGCAACTGGAGGCAGCCTCCCCGACGACCCGCTAGGGGCGTTCGGATCAGACGCCCGACGCCTCAGCGAGGGCCCGCCTAAGCGACGCCAGCCGAGGGGCAACGTCAGCGCCAGCCCACCGCCCAAGGTGACACGCGACCTCCCGCAGAGGAGCCGGAGAACAGCAGGTCCCCAGCAGCAGCGTCAGACAGTCGCCCCCCGCCCCCCCCCCCCCTCCCTCGGGGTGGCGCGATCGCCACTTCCAGCCAGGCAGCTCCAGTCAGCCCGCCCCGGGCCCCCGGGCCCCGCCCCGAACAGCCAGCTCGAGACCGCCGCTCGCCAACCCCCGCGAATGGGCTCCAAGCGGGTCTTCGACGACCTTATCGACCCCATCGGAGGGGGTCCCATGTGCAAGGAACGGTTGGGCAATGTCGATCTCGACAAGTTTGCGGAAACACCCTCAGCCAATATCTCCCGTCTCCAAAAGACCCTGGGGGAGAGTTCAGCAGCGCCTGGCGCGCCTATGCCCGCATGCACCCAGCAGGGGCCAGCGGCCCAAAGAGCGACCCCGCGCTGAACCCTGAGGGCAAGCGCCGTGCTTTCTCTGACGCCTGGAAGCGCTGCGGGCACGATGCCTACGAGATGGGCCGCAAACGCAGGCCCCAGGTCAGATGGGGAAGGGGGCGCGACAAGTGGTCAGGATACCGGGGCACCAGCGCCCCACAGTACAAGGGATACGCCACAAGCTCCCGCCAACCCTGGGTCTGGGACTCACGGTCATGGTCGCAGGCCTGGGACGGCGACGATTGGCAGGCCGCGGGCAGACGCGGCGGCAACGATAGCAGCGACGGGAGAGGGGGCAAGCGCTCCCGCACATGGCGATGATGCCCCACCCCCTGCACACCGTTGGGCCCCGCCGCGCCGCATCGTGATCGCGCGCGCTTCGCCGGCGCTGCGCTGGCTCCGCCGCCGGCCACCCGGCCGAAACTGCCCCGACGCACCTGGCCAGACGCCGACCCGACGCCCCAGAGGGCAGCCGACCGCAGCTATCCTCCCCATGCGGTGCAAACCTCAGGCCCGCGGGGCTCGCCGCGGCTGCGCCTTTGATTCTTCAGTTTAAACCAGGCCCTTTGGGCCAAGAAGGAACGCGGTTCGATATTATCGCTATCACCTAACATGGGGACCGTTAGGCCAAAGGTTTCGCTGCCTCGTTCATTCAGCACGCAGTGGTCGCTTGCCACCCCTGGTTTGGACCTCCGACATCGCGTGTGTTCGGGGGCTTGTATGTTCGGGGGCTTGGGCGGGGACCTCTGACGGCGGCCCCCGCTTGCATCGCTCTAGACGCGACTCCCATAGCACTCGCTGTAGCCGGCGTCCGATTTGCAGGCAGTGCTTCTTCCCTGGCGCCACTCCCTGCCCTGCCCAGCCCCCGCTGCGCCCGGCCCTCGGGACAGGGGCAGCGGACTGCTGACAATGCTGGCTCGTGGGTCCCCGCCGGGGCCGTGGTCCACCTGTCCCGCCTTTGTTTCGCCCTAGACGCCTCTGCTGCAGCCCCTGCTGCGGCCGTCGCTTGACTTGCAGGCATTGCTCCTTCCCTGGTGCCTCTCCCTGCCCAGCCCCCGCTGCTCCGCGCCCTTGGGAACTCGGGCAGTGGCCTGCTGACAATACTGACTCGTGGGCTACCGCTGGGGCTGTGGTCCACCTGTCCCCTATCGGCCCCTGGCCTGCTGTAATTGTTTTCACCCCTGGCGCGTCCCTTCCCCGCGCTACCGGGCGGCCCGCCGGGTCGGGGTGCCCCCCCCCCCCCCCTCGGCTTGGCCTCCGCTCTTCCCGTCGGTCGGTGGCGTCGCCCCCCGCGGCACTGGCTTCCCGCTTTTCCGCCCATGTCGCGGTTTCTATTCCCCTCCAAGGGGCCCACGGCCGTCTGTGACTCAGCTCAAACCCCCGTGCTCCTGCCACGCTGCGGTTGTAACCCTGGTTTCAGTCCCGGGTCTTCCCCGCGGTGCCGATGCTCGCCTGTCGCCATGTCCGGCGTGCTGACTACGGGCTCGTGACCCTCTTCAGGGTTCCTGGCGTGCGCCTATCCTGGCGCCACTTCACGCACTTGTTCGCGGTGACCCGCGCCATTTTGGCCGCGCGGCAGCTTGGCTGCTTCTCGCACTCGCGGTTTCTGCTGCCGTGGGAATTTGCGGCTTCGGCCACCCTGTTTTCTCGCAGCCTGCCAATGCTCACGCCCACCCCGGTTTCAATTCGACCTCCGACTGTCGGTCCTCCTGGCTGCAGCCACCCTGGTGCTCTCGCAGTTGTCCTGGGTCTCGCGCCCTTGCATTAATCAGGCGGCTTCTGTCCCTGGTCGTCGTTCTTCCCGACTACCTGGAGCTTCCGACGCCGTGCACGCCTGCGCGCTGGCAGCGCGACTCAGTTTCAGCTGCCCCCTCCACTCGCCGACCCGCCGCTGAGGTGCTGCGCGAGGCCCCGCTTACCCGCTTTAGGCGCGGCCGCCCTCCGCTGCTTTAGGTGAATTTGTCGCTGGGTGCCCCGCTTTGACTGGACTCGCCGCTGGCGCGCTCGCCCGCGGCCGCTGACTAAAAAGTAACCCCACCAGGCCATCCAGAAACGATGCCCCGAGGAATACCCTCGATCAGGGCAGCGAGCAGCACGCAGAGGAAGGGCCCCCCAATGGAGGCCTCTTGGAGCGACTTGAATGCCTCTTGGCGGTTCCGGGCGCCTCTTAGAGCGTCTTGGGTCCCTCGGAGAGCTTGTTGGTGCCTCTTGGGGGCCACTTTGGAACCTCTTGAAAGCCTCTTGGGCGCCTGTTGGGGCCTCCTGGGCGCCTCTTGGGGCCCTCTTGAAGCGTTCTTGGGATCCTTGGGAACGCTCTTGGGGCCATCTTGGAGGACATCGATCAAACAAGAGGGGAGCATGAATTAGCGTTGCCCCTCGGGAGCCCAACGACGCCCTTGGGGCGCTCTTGGAGTGCTCTTGGGCGCTCTTGAAGCCGTTTTGGGCCTCTCTTGAGCCTCTCTTGGAGCCCTCTTGGACCATGTTGGAACCGTCTTGATTGAGGCCTCGGATGGCCATCGGAAGCGAAAAGGCGAGAAAACCAAAACATTGATTGTCCTAGGGGTTTGGAAGGAGTTTGGCCTCTTCGGGGCCTCCTGGGGGGGCTCTTTGGCCACCCGGAGCGTCTTGGAGCGGTCTCGGGGCCTCTTGTAGCCTCACGGAAGACATCTAGAGGCATCTGGAACCATCCTGGAGGTCATCTTGAGCTCTCCCAGGCGCTCTTGGAATCATCTTAATCAGTGCCCCTCCCAAGAGGCCAACATGTAGCCCGAACCTTCGTTAACAAAAACAATGACTTGGGCATTCTCGCCGAGGCCTCTTGGAACGTCTTTGGAGCCTCTGGGGGGCCTCTTGGGGCCTCTTGGGGGTGTATCGGAAGCCTCTTGGGGGCATCCTGGGGGCCTCTTGGGGACCTCTGGGGGCATCCTGGCCACCTCTTAGTGCCCTCTTGGGGCAACCTTGGGAGCCTTGGGAGCGCTCTCGGGGCCAGGAGGAGATCGATCAAAAAAAGGGGGGTCCTTAATTAGGGTCCCCCCCCCTCCACGAGGCCAACATGGGACCAAAACGTTTTAGTAAAATCAATGATATTAGCTTCCTCGCCGAGGCTGTTTGGACGCTCCAACTACCCGCGGACCCCCGTCCAGGTCCAGGGGAGGGGGCAGGGGGAGGGGTAAATCCCTCCCCGAAGGGGAAGAGGGAGGGGTGGAAGAGGAAACTCCCCAAACCACCTACGCCCTAAAGGGCTGGTGGGATTTGCAAGAGCTTCACGGATTGAGGGCGGTTCTTTTTCAAACTGTGGCTCTCGGTTTAGCGCCGCGCACATTCGATTCAAAAATGAAGAGTTTCACGGATTCCCATGGTCAACGTACCAGAGATGGTGTTCGGAAAAAATTCAGGATAATGTGGATGCATCAGTTATGTTGATTCGCGGTGTTGAAGTTCCCAAAATGGCATTCTGGCACGATTCCAAATCGTCAGGACGCAGCAGTCAGGTTGCTCCGTGGAAATTCCGAGAACAGTGTTTTGGCATGCTTCAAGGTCTTCATTCAAACAATTGTCTTCCAACGAGGCAGTTCCCTCAATGGAAATGACGGTTGCAGGGGCCTATGAAGAGGGAGCTTGGAACCAGGGTTGATTACAACATCGTTGATTACTCTGGGGTTTACACTGGTCCTCCTCCTCCTCCTCCTCCTCCTCCTCCTCCTCCTCCTCCTCCTCCTCCTCCTCCTCCTCCTCCTCCTCCTCCTCCTCCTCCCCCCTCCTCCTCCTCCTCCTCCTCTGCCGCCACTGGCTCCCTCGGCGAGGGACCATGCCGAGGTCCCGGGGGGCAGCGGGTCCTGGCGGTGGACGCGGGCATGCTCTGGCGCTGCAATCTGCCGCCGAGGAGGCCTGGGTTCTAGGGGCCGAGCGTCGACAGCCCCTCCTCGCAGGCCCATCCCAGGGCGCGCTCAGGCCAAGCGCCTGGCGGCGGCTCCGGCCGTGGCGCCAGGGGAGGCCTGGACAAAAAGGGCCAGAAGCGCCCCCAGGCCTCCTCCTCCTCCTCCTCCTCCTCCTCCTCCTCCTCCTCCTCCTTCCTCCTCCCCCTCCTCCTCCTCCCTCCTCCTCCCTCCTCCTCACTCCTCCTCCTCCTCCTCCTCCTCCTCCTCCTCCCCCTCCTTTCCTTCCTCTTTCTCCTTCTTCTCCTCTTGCCTCCTCCTCCTTCCTCCTTCCTCCTCCTCCTCCTTCTCCTCCTCCTCCTCGATCCTCGATCCCTCCCCCCGCCCCACTGGGGTCGGAGAGCTGACCCAGGGTCGGTCGGGCTCGGCACTGCGGCAGCCTGCGCGCCGTCCTGCGGAAGGCTCCCCACCCCGCCCGAGTAGCCAGGGCTGGCACCACTCTTGCTGCGACGGCGGTGCGGAAGGCGAAGGCAAGAGGCAGCCAGCCCGGGGAGGATGTGGAAGAGAGAGGGAAGGAGCTGCCCTGGGGAGGTAGGGAGTCCCGCCCCGCGCTCACACCACGTGCCCAGAGGGCTCGGCGGCTCTGCGCGCGCCAGCCGCGGGGATCAGCGACGTCAGGTCGCTCGGGAGGCAGGCCTGGCTCGAGCGGCGGCGCCGCCGCATGAGGATTCGCAAGGACGTAAGTCCCAGATCTCCCGCGATGTGATGTGTTCAATTTGGGCATTTTTCATCGAGCTCGGCCTCCGGGCATACATACATATGTTGCACGGAACTCCAGCGAGGCCAACGATGGCCGAGGGAGAAGACTGGGGTGACCCCCTGAAGGAAAACGCCCACCCTGCAAGTTCGATTAACAGCAGATCGTTGAACGGTGCTGCAGCCCCCCCTGAGCAGGGACCCCCTCCGGAGCAGACAAGCCTGGTTTGCACCCCCATGCATTTCTGAACTCCATGTGCGCTTCGGCGTTGCCACAACCGCCGCCGTTCCCTCGTCAGGTCCACTGGCTCGTGTGGCATGCATACATACAAACATGCATGCATGCATACATACACAGACACATACATACACACGAACATACATACATGCATGCATACATACATGCATACACACATACGTACGTACATACGCAGGCACATACGTACATACACACGTACACACAGACCTACCTACCTACCTACCTACCTATCTACCTACCTACCTACCTACCTATCTACATACATACATACATACATACATACATACATACATACACACATACATACATACATACATACATACATACCTACATACATACATGCATCCATACATACATACATACATGCATACACAAATGCGTGCATGCACACATACATACATGACTACATACACACACAAACTGCATACGCACATACATACATGCATACATGCATACTTACATACATACATTCATTCATACATACATTCATACACATACATACACATACATACACATACACATACATACACATACACATACACATACACGTACACATACACGTATACATACACATACACACATACACACATACACACATACACACATACACACATACACACATACATACATACATACATACATACATACATACATATGTACATGCATACGTACATACATACATACATGCATACATACATACATACGTACATACATACATACATGCATGCATGCATGCAGACAGGCAAACAGACAAACCTACATACATACATACGTACAGACATACATGCATACACACATACATGCATACACGCATACATATACACATACCTACACACATACACATACACATAAATCCGCCGATCCGGCGTGTGAGTTTCAAGGAGTCTCAGCTACAGCCTCGAGGCTGAGCCTCAGCCTCTGGGGGGGTTGCCGGGGTGGCTCTGCCGGGGAAGGGGGGGGGGGGGGGCGAGTTTCCGGCGGATGCGTTTTTTGACACCCCTCACAAGGATCGTGGCCTCCGAGGGGGTTCCGAACTCGAGTACCACCCCTCCCGCACCAAGAGGCTCCGAGGAGGCCTCCAAGAGGCCCCAAGGGGCGCAGAAGAGGCCCCCAAGAAGCCCCAAGAGGCTCCCAAGAGACCCCCAAGAGGCCCTCTAGTGGCCCCAAGAGGCCCAAGAGGCCCCCAAGAAGCCCCAAGAGGCGCCCAAGAGGCCCCCAGAAGTCCCAGCCAACCACGAGATCCCAACCAGCATCCATGAGGCCTCTGACCCACCACCCACGCACGGTGGCGGGATAGGCCGACGGCCACTGGATAAATGCTGAGTGAGAGGAGGGGAAGGAAAAAGAGAGGAGGGACGAGGGCGAAGAAGGATCACATCAGTCGGAGCGCCCCGGATCGGCGGCACTGGCCGAAGGCCACTACAATATACACATACACATACATACAAATTCCCCAATCAAAGCTTGCCTCTGTAGGGGTCCTGGCGGATTCATGTGTGTGGGTGAGCTACGTCGCCGACTTCGATGGCGGGGCCCCGGTGCCCGGGTGCCCGGGGGTGCCCAGAGGTGCCCGGGGATGCCCGGAAGTGCCCGGGGGTACCAGGGTGCCGGGGTGCTCTATCGCCCTAAGGCCCTATAGCCCTATAGCCCTGTAGCTCTATAGCCCTATAGCCCTATAGCCCTATAGCCCAATAGCCCAATAGCCCTATAGCCCTATAGCCCTATAGCCCTATAGCCCTATAGCCTTATAGCCGCATAGCCGTATAGCCGTATAGCCGTATAGCCGTATAGCCGTATACCCCTATAGCCCCTAGCCCCCTAGCCCCATAGCCCTATAGCCTTATAGCTCTATAGCCGAATAGCCGAATAACCCATATAGCCCTACAGCCCTATAGCCCTATAGCCCTATAGACCTGCAGCCCTACAACCCTACAGCCTCATAGCAATATAGCCCCACAACCCTGTAGCGTTTGATCGACTTGATAGCCCTCATGGCCTTCATAGCCCTCGCAAATTTCATAATCCTAAGGAGCAATTGCAAAAGGATATCATGCAATATCAAAGAAGACTCTGATTGAGTTTTCTCCGGTATCATGTACACACATGCATACTAGAACCACGCGCGCGCTTCGCGCGCGCTTAGGTTCCAGCAAGCGCAGGCTCTTGACAATACCACGGCTGCGCGCATTGACAAAATCACGGCTGCACGAATGCACGCACCGACGAATGGTTTCAGCATGGTTTGAAACATCAACATGAGCCTGGCCCCAGCAGAGAAGGGTCTCTTGGGCGCCGCGGGGGGGTAGTCCAGGGTCTCGTTGGGTGTTTGCGGCCCATCTCACTGTGGAGTTCACGCTGTACAAGATGATTACTCGATCAAGCGAGGCCATATGTATGGGGGAGCGGGCAAGGAGGGACTGAGGGGAGGGGGGCGAGAGAGAGGAGGGAAAATAAAGAATGGAACCGATGCCCCAGCGTCCGCTTGTGGTTCGGACTGATCTCAGCCGTCTTGCCCTTCTCTTGGGGCCGTCGTGAGTCCTGGGGCCAAATCAACACGAGGGCAACGGATGAAACCGCCACCGTGCCTGTGTTGTGGGTCAGAGGCATATTGGATGCTTGTTGGGGTCTCTTGCGAAGCTTCCAAAGAACATTTTCGAGGCAATTCTGATGCCTCGCGGGGCTCGTCCGTGGCTGCTTGCGGACTGTAAGGGCTTCTTTGGGGCCTTCAGTGGGCTTCGTGGGGCCTCTGGAGTGGTTCTTGGGGGGAGGCAATTTTGAAATGTTTCGAAGCCTCCGGGGGGCCGTTTTGGGGCATCTTGGGGCCTCTTTGGGGTCTCTGATGGGTGCATTTTTAAGCCTTTTGGGGCCTCTTGGGGGCCTCTTGGGGCGGAAATCTCCATTGTCGGTTCATGTTCCCCCTCTTTGGCACCTCTTGGGGCCGTCTTGAAGCCCTCTTGGGCCGTCTTGGGCGCCTCTTGGACCGTTAGGGCGCCCTCTTGGGCTGTCTTGGGGGCCTCTCGGGGGCCTTTTGGGCCGTCTTGGGGCGATGTTCGAGGCTTCCTCGGCAATCTTGGAAGGTCAGAAGCCCGAAAACGCGGGCAAGCAAAAAACATTGAAAAACACAATGAACATCTATGATGTTTGCCTCTTTGGGCTCTCTTGGAAAGCCTCTCGGAGCGCCCCTGGGGCTTCTTGGGGGCCCCTTGGGCCTTGATGGGGCTATCTTGAGAGTCTTGGAGCGCTCTTGGGCCGTCTTGGCGGCTTCTTGCCGTCCCCGGAAGCCGTGGTGGACGCCTCCAGGGGCGCAAAAGAGCCTCCGGACGCCCGGGGGCAAAACGTGTTACGGGGGGGGGGGGGGAATTCGGGAGGGTGTCCCGGCCAGGGGCCCTGGCCCCCGGTTTCCAAGTATATGATACATACATACATACATACATACATACATACATACATACATACATACGTACGTACGTACGCACGCACGCACGCACGCACGCACGCACGCACGCACGCACGCACGCACGCACGCACGCACGCACGCACGCACGTACGTACGTACGTACGTACGTACATACATACATACACACAGGCATACACATACACACATGCACACATGCTAGAGGGGGTCGGCGTAGATGGGGCCGGAGGATCGCACCGCATCGCCAACACATCGGCGATGCATCGCCGATGCATCGGCGACTCCAGCGTGGAACAACTCGGGCTCCACATCGAGCCGCATCGCCGATACATCGACGATACGGCGCGATCCTCCAACCCCATCGACTCGGACCCCAACTGGGATGCCTGGAATACTTTCTGGCAATGGAAACAATTGGTTTTCAAAGTGTCTGATCTTGAAAAACTCTGCGTGGTGACGCCCCCGCTGCCAATGGCTTCCGACGGCCCAGAAAGGCCCAGAAGGCACCAAGATGGCCCCAAGACAGCCCGAGAGGCTCCCAAGAAGGCCCCAGGACTGCCCAAGGGGGCCCCAAGATTGCCGAAGAAGCCTCCAAGAAGGTCCTTAGAGGGTTCCAAGACGGCCCAATAGACATCCACGATTGCCCTGAACCGCCCCAAGAAGGCCCCAAGGCGGCCCAGAGAGGCCTCAAAGACGGCCTCCGCAGGCGTCAGACGACAGAAGACGGCCCAAGAGGCCCCGAGAAGCTCCCAAGAGGCCCCCAAGAGGCCCTCAGGAGGCCCCCAAGAGGCCTACTGCCTCCTCCTCCTCCTCCTCCTCCTCCTCCTCCTTCTCCCTTTGCTCCCTCTTCTCATCCTCTCCCTCTTCGGCACCCGACGCTGGGGTTAGTTGGCCAAACACAGCCCTGGAGGACCTCCAGGGCTCTCCGAAACCGCCCCACAGAAGCCCAAGGCAACCCCAGAAACAGGCCGATGACGACGGGGGGTGGTTTGTCCAGAAGAGAAGACGCTCGGTACCACACGCAACGCATCCAGCGCATCCTGCATCTCGGGCCAAGCACGCGACAACCCCATCCAAACCCCGCACAAGCGTAGGTGGGCCCCTAGACAATCCGGGCAGTGTTCATGAGAGCCGGGAGAAACGTGATAACAAGAGGTGTCGAATTTGACGACTCAGAAGGGCTAGTCCACAAGGGAAGACGAAAGCTGTCACGTGTGACCCATCCTGCGCATCCTACGCCTAGACGGCCGCGTAGAGCCTCCAGGT